GTTGACATTCACCGCGACCAGGCCATTGTCGAACGTTTCAACCGCACCCTGGCTGAGCGCTTGTTCGGCCGCCAGTACGCCGTGGAAATGCGACTCCCTGAGGGGCAGCGGTCCACTGCCTGGGTGAAAATACTTCCTGAAGTTGTTTCGGCTTTGAACAACGAGGTGACAAGCCTTATCGGCAAGAAGCCCGCCGACGCCATCAAAGAAAAATCTGTTTACGCAAGGCCCTCGACACCTTACTCAAGGCCTTTCGGGAAAAACGAAAAATTACTCCCCTCTCTTGTCCAAGTTCGTTATCTCTACCAGCTCGGCGAGCTTGAAGGGTGCGTGAAAAGGGTCACGACCCCATCTGGTCTTTGAAAGTTTACAACGTTGAAAGGTCTTTCATCAAACCGGATCAACCCGTTCTCTACTATCTGCGCGACGGTCCCAAGCGCGGCTTCCTGCGTGAAGAGCTTCTCGTTGTCCCTCCAAACACTACTCTTCCTCCGACTGACGTGGACTAAAGGTGGAATTCGATTGGTTCGGTATGTATCCCGTTGGGCAGCACCCACCGCTTGTCGTAATAAACGCTCAGCCCCAGCTTCTGCTGCTCGTAAGTGACCATGTGCCCGTCCCGCATCCTGAAACCTCTGTTGGTNAATCCCGTCGGGCAGCACCCACCGCTTGTCGTAATAAACGCTCAGCCCCAGCTTCTGCTGCTCGTAAGTGACCATGTGCCCGTCCCGCATCCTGAAACCTCTGTTGGTCGCCATATCCTTGCAGCCTTCCAGCGCTTCCTCGAACCGCTGCCACGTCAGCTCGTTCTGCGTTTTCGACATCCCCTTCGTGCTAAACTTCTTTCTTTCGCCCCTCTCTCCAGCGTCGGCGTAATAACACTTCGAGCAGAGTGCGATCATCCGGCGGCCCTCAAACTCAAGCTTGAAGAGGCCTGGGATGCGCCCGCTCCACTTGTCCCAAGCAGCCACTGATTTTTTTCCGCCTCGAATTCTGCTTTCAACTCTGGCCGGACAATGTCTTCGAGCCGCTCGCCGGAGATTGCCATGTAGTTGCTGTCTGTGTCCATCTGGATCAGCTCGAAATCTCTTTTGTCAAAGTACTTGTCGAGAAAGTCGTAGTAGAATTCCAGCATCCGCAGCTTCGCCAGCTGATAGACAGC